ATGGCAAGAAAAAGACACTAGACTTAATTTTTTCCAGCTCTTGTTTCACTTGAAAGCAGCAAACGCACGTGGCTTACTCACTCTTTTACTTGTTCACATTTCAACACGTCTTGCTCACCACGGACCACGTCGCCATAACCATTTCTTTTTCTTCTTTTCATTTCACTTCACAATCACATTGCATGTTTAATAGATTTATTTGTAACTCTCACAAATTCTGATATGGAATCCAACATTCGTGTATATTTTCCACCAAAAGAATCTTCTTCTGTTCCAAAACTAGTCAAACTAAAAAAAGTTTCACTCATTCCTCTAATTTTCTTAATCTTCTACGAGGTATCAGGAGGAGTATTTGGTGTAGAAGATATTGGAAATAATTTATATTTTAGGAATATCTTGTTGACTAAGTTTGTTAGAGGGTATTTTAGTATTTTATTATACCCTAATATTTGTGTATAAATAGCCTAGTAGTAGGTAGATCAATGTAATTAATTATTCCTAATATTATAGTTGTCATTTAATATATTCCTGTTGTCTTTCATCTCTCCTTGTGCACCAACACATGGTATCATGAGCCTTTGGTTCGAGAAAGGGACCAATTTGGCTTGCTTGTATCGAAAGTATCTCTACATGGTCGTGGGTAAGAGTCCCGCATGTGAGTAGAGTGTCTCGTTGAAGAGTGTCCAAAAGCGGTACAAGTGTGTGGAAGAAAGAAGCTTCCACTTGAGGGGGAGCATTGTGGGCTCACACTTAAGGGGGGGGGGGGTGTTGAGAATATAGTAAGTGTGAGTGTGGGGAAATAATCCCACATTGAATAGGAATGTGGTGACTTAAGAATTTATAAATGGGAGAACCTACTCATCTATCACCTTAAGGTTTTAGATGGACAAGTGGTGTATCTCCTACAAAAGTGTGTTGCTCAAACAAAATTAGGAAGAGATGATGTTCAGGTTGCATAAAGTCTTGTATGGATTGAAGCAAACATCAGAACCTGGAATCTGAAGATTGATTCATTTTTCAAGGAACAAGGGTTTCAGAAGTGTGAGATGGAGTATGATGTTTATGTTCAGCATACTTCAGAAGGCAACATGATTCTGGTATGTTTGTATGTTGATGACATATTACTAACAGGAAGTTCTGAATAAGAGATAGCTAAGTTCAAGAAGGTTCTGATGAATGAGTTTGAGATGACACATCTTGGAAAAATGAGTTACTTTCTAGAGATGGAGTTTATGTACTCTGAGAAAAGTGGTGTATCTCATACAAAAGTGTGTTGCTCAAACAGAATTAGGAAGAGATGGTGTTCAGATTGCATAAAGTCTTGTATGGATTGAAGCAAACATCAGAACCTGGAATCTGAAGATTGATTCATTTTTCAAGGAACAAGGGTTTTAGAAGTGTGAGATGGAGTATGGTGTTTATGTTCAGCATACTTCAGAAGGCAATATGATTATGGTATGTTTGTATGTTGATGACATATTACTAACAGGAAGTTCTGAACAAGAGATAGCTAAGTTCAAGAAGGTTCTGATGAATGAGTTTGAGATGACACATCTTGCAAAAATGAGTTACTTTCTAGAGATGGAGTTTATGTACTCTGAGAAAGAAATCATTTTGCATCAGATGAAGTATGAACTTGAGCTTCTGAAGAGATTTAAGCTGGAGAATTGTAAAGCTGCTATCACACATGCTGATACGAATCAGAAGTTGGACTCTGATTATGATGGAGAGGATGTGAATGCTACAACCTTCAAACAGTTGGTTGGTTCTCTGAGGTATTTGTGTAATACTATACCTGATATTTACTATGCAGTTGGAATAGTTGGAATGGTTAGCAGATTTATGAATAAACCAAACTGATCTCATTACCAAACTGTTGTTAGGATTCTGAGGTATGTGAAGGGAACTCTGAAGTATGGAGTGTTATTTCCTTTTGGAAGAAAGATCAAATCAGAACTTCTGAGTTATTCAGACTCTGATTGGTGTGGAGACAGAGTTGACAGAAGAAGTATTTCTGAATACTTATTCAAATTTCTGGGAGGTCCTATTTCTTGGTGCTCCAAGAAACAACCTGTTGTTGCACTGTCAACCTGTGAAGCTGAATATATTGCAGGCGCTCTAACTGCATGCTAAGTTGTGTGGATTCTAAACTTGTTGCAGGATCTGAAGTTCGAGGTAAACAAGCCTTTGAAGTTGATGATTGATAACAAGTCTACAATCAATCTTGCCAAGAATCCAGTGCTGCATGGGAGAAACAAGAATATTGAGATCAAGTATCACTTTCTGAGAAATCAGGTCCAGAGTGGAATGTTAGAAGTTGTGCACTGTAGCACCTAGAAGCAGCTGACGGACATTCTAACAATTGCTATCAAGTCTGATCAATTTCTTCGTTTGAGGGACGAAATTAATGTTGTCAATTTTGTGTAAATATAAATTAAGGGATTATGTTGAAAATAATTTATATTTTATGAATGTCTTGTTGACTAAGTTTCTTAGAGAGTATTTTAGTATTTTATTATAACATAATATTTGTGTATAAATAACCTAGTAGTAGGTAAGTCAATTTAATTTATTACTTCTTATTTTATAACCGTCATTTAATATATTGATTTTGTCTTTCATCTCTCCTTATGTATCAACTGAAGACACACCGATGCTTTTCTATCTCTTGTTGGTTTCATAGTTTTTCCACTCATTTGGAGTGTTCCTGAAACATTAATAACTGCTGAAACGTGTACAATGAATGTTTCCTGAAAATGGTGGCTATGTAGTTTGGGTTTCATCTGCATTAGGCCCTTTTTGGGGCTTTCAGCTTGGTTGGATGAAATGGCTTAGCGGTGTAATGGACAATGCTTTATACCCAGTTTCGTTTCTTGATTATTTTAAATCAGCTATTCCAATTATAGGTAATGGTTTTCCAAGGATTATAGCTGTTTTAGTTTTAACTTTGGTTCTTACTTATATGAATTATAGAGGCTTAACAATTGTGGGTTGGGCTGCAATTTCATTAGGAGTTTTTTCATTGATTCCTCTTGTTGTTATGGGAGTTATTTCAATTCCAAGAATAAAGCCTAAAAGATGGGTTATGATGGATTTGAAGAATGTAAACACATTGTTTTGGAATTTGAATTATTGGGATTCTGCTGTAGCTGAAATGAGTAGCGATTCTTTTCAGCTTTTAGGAATGGCTGAAAGAGGAATGTTTCCTGAATTCTTTGGTAAAAGGTTGTCCTTTGTGTATTCATTTTCCTAGTTAGCATGTTTTGTTAGGCCTATGCTCCAAATCATAAATAAATCTTTTCTTTGATGAGAAACCTTAAGCTCAACTCAACTACTTGATTAAAATAAGAGCTCTACTTGTAACTTGTAAGCCACTATTACTTTATTTTCTTTTTATACTTTTTCTTAATTTCTCATGGTTTCTTGTCTTTTTCTTTTCTAACTAATAATTGTCATATTCTCATGAAAAACAAAATGACTCAAATCTCTATTTTATAGATGCTAACTAGTGATGACACATGACCAAAACCAAGTTGCTAACTAGTGATGACACATGAACAAAACCAAGTTGCTAACTAAAGATAAACATAATAATCAACTTGTACATTATTGATGAAAAAATCAACAACCAATAAATCATTGAATATGTTACGTGGCAAAATCCAAAACCAAAGATAAGGAACAATAAAATGAAGATACCATGTTCCATGTCTTGTTATAATCTCACAAAAACACTAGAAAATTCCAACAGTTTGTACATTCCAAAGCTTCTTGTTGCAAAGGAATCTCCGTCTTGTTACCTTTTAAATTCAAACTCAAAACACACAAATTCTTCCCTGATCTTCAAGCACAGAACAATGAGTAACCAAAAAACACTTCAAGACTTTTTTGTGCAAGAAAAGCCTCATTTTTCAACACCATCTTCTTCACCTACATCAGGAAATGAAGAAATTCTCTCTACTGTTTCATATTGCACTTTTGTTTTCACTTTCACTGACCCTTTAGAGTCTCCTGCACAAAGAGACTCTAAAAGACTTCAACTCTCAAGACTCATAGCTATGCTGAAAACCTCCAAAAAACCAGTTCATGAGAAAGTTATTGGACCTTTAGTATTAATGATCAAAGCCAATCTTTTTAGGCCACTCCCTCCTCCTACAAATCCTTCTGCTATATCAGAATATCTCGACGAAGAGGATCCTATTTCCATACCTTCCCCTTTATGGTCACATCTACAAATAGTATACGAAATTCTCCTAAGGCTAGTTAACAGCACTGACACCAAAATACTTAGAAACTATATCGACCATTCGTTTCTCCTTAATCTTCTATCGCTTTTCCAATCCGAAGATCCGAGGGAACGCGAGAGTTTGAAAAACGTGTACCACAAGATATATTCTAAGCTGGTTTGCGACCGTTCCGCCATGAGGAAATCCATGACAGATGTTTTGTTGAACTATGTTTTTGAGACAGAAAAACATTCTGGTATTGCAGATTTGCTTGAGATATGGGGAACTATAGTTAACGGCTTTACCGTGCCACTCAAGGAAGAGCACAAGTTGTTTCTTATGAGAGTGTTGATTCCTTTACATAAGACCAAAGGGATGCAAGTGTATCATAGACAACTTGCTTATTGTATATCACAGTTTGTGCAGAAGGAACCTATGCTTGGAGGTGTTGTTGTTAGAGGAATTTTGAGGTATTGGCCTGTTACAAATTGTCAGAAGGAGATTCTTTTGATCGGAGAGTTGGAAGATTTGGTTGAGAATTTGGATCCTGATCAGTATCGTAAGTTGGCGTTGCCGATATGTACTCAGATTACAAAATGCATCAACAGTTGGAATTCTCAGGTAAAATCTCTTATTAGTTAGTAACTATAAAGTATTAATACAGACACTATATCGTTAATAAATGAATGAAGTACAAATGATTTCTACTACTAGTCTATTTATATATAAAGTAAATTACCACGTAAACCCTTTAAACTTAATGACTAAGTTATAAGGTACAAATTAAGAAATACTAAACTTAACAGTTATGCTAACAAACTCAGAACCCAGAAACTGAGCTGAACATATTTATGGACATAACCTCAGAAGCTTCTGGTTCTTATTAACAACAATTTTTTAACATATCAAACTACTGCTTCTAACTAAGCAGTCTTAGAAACTTACCGTTTCTGTCTAACAACCTCAAAAGCTCAACTGCTTCTGAACAACAACATCTTCTAAATATGAATTACTTTTAACACCAGACACAAACACAAATCTTAATAATATTAATACAGGCACACCACACCAGACACGTTAACACTTTTAATAATATTAATACATACACCGAACACAGATACGTAGACACTCTTAATTTAAGAATTGAAGTGGTTGAATGTAATAATGTGAGTTGGTATTGAGTTTATGATTCATATAAATGTGATTTCAGGTAGCTGAGAGGGCATTGTACGTGTGGAACAATGAACAGTTCTACAAGATGGCAACAACAGGAACAGTTGAAGTGCTTCCAGTGATAGTAGAAGGTGTGGAAAAGAATCTGAAGTTGCATTGGAGCAAGAGTGTTAGGCAGTTAACAGAAAGTGTGAAGGTGGTTGTGGAAGATATTGATCCAGATTTATATGCAAAGGCTCAAATGGATATGAAAGTTAAAGAATCAGTGGCACATCAAGAAGATATGAAGAGAAAAAAGAGATGGGAGAGAATTGAATTGGCTGCTTCTAAGAATCAGTTTGTTAATCCACAAAGATATATTTGTGTTTCCCACTGAAACATTTGTTTAATGTATATGAAACAAATATTTGCTGCCAATCCATAAATACTTACACAAGTGTGTTTATGTTGAACTATAAATTCTAATAAATTGTAAACAACTTATTAGATACATAAGAAAAATATAAAATATACATTGTTATTTACGCGTTTTATAATAGTGTCTTACGACAAGAATATTGGAACAATCAACGCCATTGTTGCCACCATAAACATTCCTTGAAGAAACATGAACATTAACAAACGGTTTTGATCCCCGAGCAATCCACTTAGAGGCTCAACGGGATTATGGTAGTTAACTCCAGCTTACAATGCATCAGCAGCAAGCTCCACCTCAATTCTAAGAGCTTCCAAATGAGTTAAAAACATTTAGAACATGCTTAAGCTTAACATTGAAAATTGCACCTAATTGAATAACCAAACACTAACCTCGTTATACTTGGCGATATGCTCTGATCTGCATGGAGCTCCAATCTTAATTTGATCATGTTTAAGATACAATTAACAAGGAAATAAAGGCACAATAACTCTGTAATTTCACATTATTCAAAAGATACATCATCAATACAAAATATTCTAAATTTATAGCGACAATTACTTAACTATACTAAAATTATCACCAATACCTAAAGTGACAAGCTCAATGGAGTTTCCCTAACTGTAGTATCAATTAAACTCTTGGAAAAGTGCACCACGAATAGCACTTGATAGTACAACTGTTTTTTAAAGCAATTTCCCTTTTGCCATATTTAAATATATTGACTTAGCCAAAAAGGATTATGATCCCATGTCGCATGGTCATGTACCACATGTATAAGCAAACGAATCAAACTCATCCTCTATTACGTTATTTTGAAGAAAAGGAAACAATATGACAAAATGCTCTAAAAGCCACTCTTGAATAATCAATGTGCACTTCAAATAGGTGTCGAGTATTTCTAGCATTTTAATGATTGATTAAGTAAATCATTGATGAAATTGAGGTTGGTCCCTTACACCATTGATATTGAGTTCTACTAAGATTGATAATCTACTCTCATAGGAATGTTTAGGGATAAGTTTGGTGTTTGACAACAACGATTTATTTAGAGAGAGGGTGAATAAATCACTAAGTCAAAAGTAACAATCAAAATTTGATATTTTAAAAATTATTTGAAAAGAGTACAAGCATAAAATTTTAATATAGATCGATAAAAATCGTCTGTACGAACATAGTTATTGGAACTCTGATATTCAAAGAGCCTTATGGAATAAATGAATCAATAAGGGGAATTAATTAGCTTGATACAATCAACATTTTATTACTCGTTTATAACAATTCACTAGCAATATATTTCCAATGAAATTAAACAAAAATAATGAACAGTGCAATTTGTCAAACACTTGGTGTGCGAACGGATTTTCAGAGTTTTTCTTTAAGTTTTGTTGATTTGAAAAAGCATTTATAATCAAAGTGATTATAAGGTAATCAACAACCAATTTAAAAGAAAAACTGCCATAGTAAAATTCTTACGAGTCAATCGATCAATCAATGAAGTTCAACAAATTACTTAATGAAAAATAAAGCAAGTAAAGAGATAAGAGAGAGCGACACGAAGATCTGTTTAGGAAGTTCACCAATCTTCCTCGCTATGGCTACGTCTCCCCCAATTCCATTTTATAATTGAGATAAACTTCTTACTATGCAAAAAGTTGATTACAAGAGAAGTGTTTCAAGAACAACCCTACAAACCTTAACCATTTGATGTTGATTCAACCCCTTCTCTTCTTTTAATCTTGAGCAAGACCAGGACACAATAGCTACCAATTGATTTATCAAATCTTGATACTCCTTTGGGTACCAAACTCCAAAGTTCTTTTGCGCACGATCAATTGTAACTATTGAACACAAGCACTTTCAATTTGATTCGTTGTTATCTCGCCACTCCCTTGGATACCAAACTCCAAAGCTTTCACTGCGCTTCAGAGGGGAAAATCTTTATAATTAGGGACATATATAATGAAGATCCTATTGATTAAGGGGTAATTATGAAGATTTGGTCAATTGAGCACCAAATTAATCAATGGCATACTTTTCAAGACTGAAACGTTGGGAAAGTGCTTATCAAGTCCATAACACAGCATGACGAGATCCAGATTCCTTCTCAGGACACTCCTCAAAACACTAATTAATCAGGGGCATACCTTTTGAAGATCTAGATTATAAGGGGATCCCATATCAAGTTTATATTGTAGCATGGTGGTATCCAAATTCCTTCTAAGGATACTTCCTCCAGACCCTGAAGATTGAGGCATAACTTTCAAAATTCAAATGTTGGGGAAGACCGTTGCAAGGCTCGATCAAAATAAATCGATTAAAAAAATAGTTCATTAGGAGAAAATCATTCCAAGAGTCAATTAATCAAAGGCATAATGTTTCAAAGTGCATGGTGGAGGGACAAACCATCTCAAGTACACGGTATGCCCAATTTACTCCAAAACCCATATCAAGGTGAATCTCTACAAAGACTACTAAATTGCGGCAAGACATGCCACGAAGGGGCAAGCTCACCTCATACTTCATGATCCCTAGTGAAGCTCTCTTCTACGTCAGTAATCTTCGAGTTCAAAATGAGTATCGGGAAAACATGATAGTATAACACCATACCATCGTGTGACAAGCAACCTTGTTACATAAACAATAATCCAATTTTTGACTATCCCCGACCCACCATAGAGGCACCCGTCAAAAGAAATCGAGTCAACATCGTAAATCATTCTCATGCATTCATTAGGTCACTTTGCTCTAGTATCAATCTATGCATATCACCTTATTCATATTAACATCAAATGAATCCTACATCATCAAGAAGCCTTGCAATCCAAGCATGAACAATAAAAAAGTCCAACCTCGATTGGCATCTTACAAAGCCCGACCTTACTTGGCACCCAACACCTACATATCAAAAGCCTAATCATTCATTGGCATTTCAAAATCCAGCATCCATTGATACATATCCAAATCACTCATTACATGAATAAATCAATCATTATATTTAATGCATATGTTGTACCCCAAAATTTTCCCTCCCATTTTCTTCAAAACATGCTCACCAAAGGTCTCAAATACCCAAAGTCACTCAAGAGTTGATTGGTCAAAATCTCCTCCTAAGCAAGGGTCTTCAACTAGGGTTTTGTGCTTCTCAATGAAGATTGGGTTACAAGGGTCTAAAATGACTTTCATGGTTCATCATAAGTCCTCAATAATGCTTATGTCAAGTTTCAAGTCTTGCATCACATGTTTGCTCAGTCAATGGCTCAGAAGATTGAAAATCAAATGTATTGAGTAGAAAGTCAATTATGGTCAACATACAGTCGAACTTCAAGATTTTTTGTTAACATCAACATTTTGAGGTGATAATCATCATTTGATCATGGGTTGATCATTATTTCTCAAGGAAATCCCTCAAATCATCAAAGGTCAAAAATTGCTAAATTAGGATTTTGATTGAAGATGACTGATCATTGACTTTTGGCCTAGTGCATGACCTAATGACTTAAAGCATGATCTCAAGGGCTCAAATACAACATATTAACCTAATTACATGGCTCAATACATTTCCAAAGATCCAAGTGATTGATAGTTAAAGAATTGAATCAATTGATGAAAAGTCAACAGTCACACAAAAGTCAAACTTTAACTTTTTTTGTCAATATTGGAATTCAAAAATAACGAATCATCAAAATATTCAAAACTATCAAACTTTGTCATAAAGAATCAAGAGAATCAAGAAAGTCAACAAAAGTCAAAATTGAAGATTTTAAAACACTTAGAAAAATTCAAGTGTTTTGGTGCCTAAAAAACCCTAACTTCACAAGCAAGTTTCCTCAAGATACAAGTTGATTCAAGGAAAACTTGCAACATGAAAGTTGTAGGAATTAATGAATTATACAACTTTGTTAATGTGGGATGATATTCAAAAAGTGATTGGATTAAGAGATATGGGCCCATGAAGTTGTGATATTTTTATGTAACACTTAGAAAAATTTTCAACAAGTTTTGATCAGTTTTTTATCCCAACTTCTTGGCCAATTTTCACCAAGTTTCCATTTGATTCAGCCAAAGTAGTCAACATGAAAGTTGAAGATCTTGACTCAAGCTTTCCAAAATGTCCAAGGGCACAAATTTATCATGCTTGAGCTAGGAGATTCGAATAGATGAAGTTGGGCATCTTGTTGTACCCCAACTTTTGCCCCTAATATTTCTCTATCATCTTATACAATCACAATACAACAAGATCACACATTAGGGTTTTGGGTACTTCTTCTACAGTATCTTATCTTTAAGTTTGCTCATGAGATATCACCAAATACCTTGAATTGTGTATCTTGTACATATATTCTTCTGACTAACATCAATATATATGTGTGTGTGTGTGTCTTTGAATGTCATCTTGGAGCTGTTGCACCCTAAATTTCGCCCCTAATTTTTTTTAATCGCATTATCTTATCATATTTTGTTATTTGGTTACAATCATTAATAAATATCTTCATTCATCACATTTTATATCATTAGTCATATTTATGTTTACCAAAAGTCAGTTTAAATTGAAGTTTGCATCATTTTATTGTTGAAAAACACCTGATATTTCACTTCATGCATTTTTATCTCTTTACTCGCTTCTTGCATCGCTCCAAGTTTGTTTATATGTCGATAATATTAATATTTTGTTTTACAGACAGACCGTTAAAAGAGATTCGACACTGTGTGGAAAATTAGCGAGAAAATATTTCAAGTTTTCACCTTTTAGTGACCATTTTATAAATTTGCGTTTCGCGTAGATCATGACGATATGCTCGCTTCATTTTTCGGTACACTTTGAAGTCTCGTTTTTAACTGTAAGCATTTGTTCAACTTGATATTTTTATTCTCATTTTATTTTAATTTTTGACCATTTGATTAATTTTTTATTAATCTTTGTGACATGTAGTTTATTTAAATATGTTCATTTCATTTTT